ATTTCAATTCAAAAATTATTTTCTACTCTCTAGTAAATATAAAAGATATTTTCTCAAAAATAATTTCCATTCATAAATCAAACACTAAAAAATCTTTTTCGGAAAATATTTTCTAATCACCAACCAAACATGAGAAAATAAGTAAAAAATCTACTTGTTTTCCAGGAAAACATTTTCTAGGAAAACATTTTCCTTCATACCAAACACGCCCATAATATGAACATGATGAATATACTGAAACATACTGAATATAAACTAAACTGAATGCAATGACTAAGTACTGAACATGTTGAAACTGAATATAGATATATAATTGAATAACCTGGTCAAATGCACTAGAGTTTGATTGTGGGAGCTACTATTAACCGACATAAAACTACGTGAACTAACCGTGGAGTTCAATTTATACGCCCCATCGAGAGGACCCAATATACCTTGTCAAGGGTATAAAGGCATGACTGGCGTGATCACCAAATAAAATGCCTACAGAGGGAACTTATAAACCTATGGGGGCACGTAGTTCTAGGACTATGAGGGTGACTGACCCTAGTCCAAATCGGTATTAAATCTACTCCCAACTGAAAATGTGTACAATACAACATAACTGGAATATACTTGATAGCTCAATATTTGACATGCTAACTGAAAATGCATCATTAAAGTACTGATAATGAAACATTCTTAACTGGAGCATGTATATCTATATAAACTGACCTAACAAGTGTAATTCATGAACTAAACGAATCTACACAACTAGGGTTCTGAGTTTCATGCAAGGAACTAAGCAATGATTTCACGAAAATATGATAATCTGATTAAGAATACTATAACAGCTAAATCACAACCAATATCTAAGGTTTTAGAAACCCTAGGTCTAAAGCAAGATATAGAAAATCAAGAATTTGACTGAATTCTAGGGACCTAGTGGATGAAAAGAACCCACTAGTGAAATCCCACATACTTGGCGACGAATTCCACGGAGAAATCTTTCGACGGGGTTGGAACTGAGGAAAACTTGTTGTGTTCTTGGAGAGGGTTTGGTCGACTGTTTCTTCTCCTTTTGCTCTGGTTCGATCGATTTTTGAAGAATGAATTGATTAGGGTAAGTTCTAATTAAGTTATTAGGCTCAAAATGACCAAAACTACGTAGTTTAGGGGTTAAGCGATGTAGTTTAGGTGCCCAACACATAGGGAAAATACCAAACGACCCCTGACTTAAAAACTGTCGGGGCCACCGATGGAGCTGACCAACGGACCATCGGTCGACTGACGGCCCGTCCTGGCAGTCCGTCGATCGGCTTAAGAGATTGGGTTTTGGGGGGTCTGAACCACGGACCGTGGTCTGACCTACGTCCCGTAGGTCCAGACTTAGGTAGATTTTCTGGGGTTCTGGGGAGGGGCTTGCAGGTGGTCAACCACAGACTCCACCTACGGTCCTCGGGTCAACCTACGGCCCGTAGGTGGCCTCCGTTGGTGGCTCCTGCAACTTCTGAAAGACTGCATTTTTACCCTTTTGAATCTGGGGTGTTACATTAGGTTACCACGATCTGTTTTGCTTTTCATCGTGTACAATCAAATGTATTTGGTATACTGATCAACAAAGAGGCAATAGTATCGCTTTTTACAACAGAGGGGACTAGGGATGGGCCCCACAAATCACTGTAAATTATTTCTCATGGTAATTTGGTAGACAAAGTATTTGGAGAAGATGGAAATCTGTGCGCTTCATTTCAACAACAAGAATTACAAAAAGTAAACCTGTCATAGGAAGAATACAAAAGACATGAATTACTTAAAATGAAAAATTAAACTTGAGAATATGAGTGGCCCAATCTTCGATGCCACAAATGTAAGGACTGTCCAACAATGGCGAAGTTGATGTTTGGTCGAGATAGTGACGGCCATACATAGACTCCTAGTTTATCGGTCCGCAATAGAGGTATTCCAGTAGTCAGATCCTTCATAAGAAATTTAAAAGGAAAAAGTTCTATTGAGATTAGATTGTCTTTGCAAAACTCATGCATTGAAATAAACTTGCGTTTGATAGCGGACCGCACAAATATTAGAGAGTTTGAAGGTAATATTTAATGCATTAATATAAATAGGACTAGTTTGAGTAATTGGAATCACATTACCATTACCCATTGTCACTTCCTCGATCCCTTTAAAGTCCTAAACATTGTGGAGGGAGTTGGTATCAGAGGTAATATGGTGAGACGCACTTGAATTGAGAATCTAGGGGTCATTCAGCGTTGTTTGTACAACAAAATTTGCTTTTGCTTCAAAGTGGTTATGAGATCGGGAGAGGCAAACACTTGTTGTATGCCCAAATTTATCACAAAGTTGACAACGAGCTTGTGAAGATTGGTGTGGGAAGTTGCACCACTGGGAAGTATCCACCGGATACTGAAAAACGTTGCCTTGAGTATGCTGCCTATTTTGGGGACACCTATTATTGTTGTTGGGTGGGCGTCGATTGTTCATTTTGAGGTCCTCATGTTTGATGAATAATTCATGAATGAGATTCAAATTCTACTTTTCTCGAAATAATAACTTTGAAACTTTTTAACTAGGAAATTTTAAATTAGGAAACTTCTAAATAAGAAAAGTTTGGGTTTGAACATTAAGCATTATGGGCTGGCCCCCTTCCGGTTTCATGTGACCCCAATCTTTTTTATTTTGGCTTGCATTTGGACATTTCTTTCTAATAGAGGACGTACCACTATTGTATATAAGGATAAGTCATATCTTCAGTTAATTTAGGCTTTAAGTTTGTAAAATTTATTATTCAGTTATGTCACATAAGTTTATTTGTTCCTATTTACTAGGAGTTACAATCTGTTTTGTTTTTCATCATGT